TTTTTTTATAAAAAAAGCAAGTATAGCGGGAATTTTTAGAAGTGAAAATTCGGCTTCTTTCTCGAAGTTCTCATGCTATTAAGCAGTGTGTTTTTCCGGTCGATTGTTATGCAAATGTTTAGACAGATTTTGATAGGCGAATTAACATTGCCCATTTTTCCCACCACCGTCTGCACACTCCTTTTCAAATATTTCACCGCACTCAAATTGAGTGTTTTAGGTTTGCTGCAAGGACATGTGGTATTTGGAAACTGATAAACCGGATGCACCAAGCAGTATCGATTTCCAGCGTAGCGAAGAGGGTGACTTGAAAGTGTTCTGGACTGGCGTGCCCACGGCAGAAACTTATTTGTTGCAACTGCGGAAATGTGCCGAAAAACCCGATCGTGGTTATTTTTTTACTTTTATGATCGCTGTGAGTGTGTGCGATCTGCTGCATGTCGAATGCCTTATTCACACTGCTTTTGCATTGCAGCAGGAAACATACCAGGCCGACTAATCGCAGTTCGACCGAGGTCTGCTGATCCTTCGAGAATTTCAAAAGTGCTTCAAGGGGCTCAGCAAGGTTGCACTGTTGTGGCGCAAGGTCCGGACGGGCAGAAGTATCGTGTTGTACCTGCAGCGGAGTTTTTTAGCATGGTCTGTTTGCTTTTGTCTAAAGAATTCTGCCATCAATATATTTTAACTTTTTTTTTTTAAATCTTACTTCGTTATCCACAATCGGTTGCAGTCATTGCTTTGCCAAAATTCGCAACTGACAGACTTGCCATAGGGGAAAATGACGTTGCTGCTAGATTTAATGCCAGCAGTTTGACTCCGCCGGTAGGGTAACCAGTTTCCCTGCGGTTCATGACAGTAAGTCAAAATCGCTATCAGCTCGCTTCTAAACAATTTGAAGAGAATATACTATTTATTACAATTGTATAAGTGGATATAAATGTTACTGGCAGTGTTTTATCGCACACGTTATTCACCTCTGCCGTAGATTAGAGTATGACGGGATTGCCAACTCTTAATAGCTTTCAGTGTTTGTGCATGTTTGAATTGTTGAGTCGGAATTCTTGATAGTTCAAGCACAATGTTTCTAGTAAAATCCAGAAAAATTTTAGTCAGCAGCTTCGAGGAAGGTCGCTATAACCAGTGCGCCTAAATCCGAGCGTGAACAAACATGCAGAAAAATCGTCACGGAGTTGCCGGATGCAAATGCAGTTATGAAATGCGGCTCACAAATGGCCCCGTTGACCTCACCAGTAATTGCACGGCTCATCGGATTGCCAGCTACTACTTCCAGGGATCAAACGCAAGCAGTTTCAACTCGAGGAACAACTTATACAATGGCAGCTAGAACGAAGAGGACTGACGTTTGTTTTACATTCAATACCGTCACTCATTTTGGGCTTTTATGCTCACAAGATAAACTGCCGATCCGACTGGAAACGTTGTCGTTATGACCAGGTATAGGAAGCCCTTCCTAGCAGAGTTTCCATGGCGCGAATCGAAAATTCCCTTGAGATTTCTCGGTGTGTTGTATAAGTTTGTGGGGGTGACATTTGCGTCATTTGTTGGTTGATACTTTAGTAAAAATCGCAAACTGTTCTCGTCACAACTTGTTCAGATCATTTGCTTTCGCACATTATGCTGCTGCCACCCTTGGTTTACTGATTTTGCTGCAGGCAGATGCTACAACACTTCCAATATCTGATACTTTACCA